GGGTAATCATTCAAAAAGGCACTCTTTACATCCATCTGATATAAAGTGAACTCCATGTGGCAGCAAAGGCTATCAGCATTCTTATAACCTCCATTCTAGCTACATGTGCAAATGTCTCATCATAGTCAATGCCCTGCTCTTGATCGTATCCCTGAACCACCAGTCTAGCCTTATTCCTTGTGATATTTTCTTGTTCATCCAACTTGTTTCTAAACACACATATGGTAGCTATGATAGTTCTGTTTTTGGGTTTCTATACTATGTGCCAGACCTTTCTTCCCTCAAACTGATTTATCTCCTCTTGTATGGCTATGAACCAGGTTAGATCATTTAGAGCTTCTTTGATGGTCTTAGGTTCAACCTGTGAGAGGAATGTTGTGAGTGCATATAGATTTCTTAGAGAAGACCTGGTTTGCACCCCTGCATTTGGATTAGAGATGATATTCTCAAGAGGATGTGAGCTTTGATGCTTCCATGGTCTGATCCGTATACCCAAATAAGATTCACCCAAGGAGTAACCCAATGGAGCAGATTCAGTAGGTGTGGCTTCATTAGTCTGGTGAGTAGTTAGAGTAGTTCATTCTTCTTCTTGTTCCTTATGATCACTGTCAGTTTCCTTGTAGTTTTCAGATCTATCTTCATCAGATTCCTTTGTATCTCCATCACGAGTGAACCCTATGTCATAATCTTCATCATGCAGACTTTTCTAAACAAAGTTTTTAGAATTATCAAAAATAACATTAATATATTCTTCCACGCATAGAGTTCTTTTATTAAAAACCTTATAGGCCTTACTATGTGGAGAGTAACCCAAGAAAATTCCCTCATCATTTCTGTCATAACTTACCTAGATCTTCTTTTCCATTATTATACACAAAATATTTGCACCCAAAGGCTCTCAATTGAGTGATGTTGGGTTTTCTTCCTTGAAGTAACTCATAGAGAGTTTTTTCAACAATGGGTTTGACCATACTATCTATTTAGCAGGTAGCAAACAGTATTGATTGCCTCAACCCAGAAATTCTTAGGCAGTCCAATGACAATCAACATGGTCCTTCCCATGTCTTCTAAGGATCTATTCTTTCTTTGTACAACTCCATTTAGTTGTCGAGTTCTAGGTGCAGAGAAATTATGGTCAATTCCATGTGAGTAACAAAACTCAAGGATTTTTGAATTTTCAAATTTAGTTCCATGGTCAGTTCTTATACTTAAAACGTTACATCCTAGATTTTGTTGAATCATTCTAACAAATACACAGAAAACATCAAGGTTTCATCTTTGGATCCCAAAAACAAAGTCCAGGTATACCTAGAAAAGTCATCAACAATCACAAACACATACCTCTTACCTCATATGCTCCTTATTCTCATTGGTCCACATAGGTCCATATGAAGGAGTTGCAGAGGTTTAGAGATACTTACTAATTTTTTAGATTTAAAGGATGACCTAACATATTTTCCTCTAACACAAGCATCACATACCTTGTCAGAAGTGAACTCAACTTTAGGTAGCCCAAGGACCAAGTCCTCTGCTGCTAACTTGTTGATTTAAGAGAGACCGGCATGTCCTGGTCTGCTATTCCATAGCAGTAGATCATCTTCCACTACACTCAAGCATGTGTGCTCACTCTAGGGAAGTGACAAAATCGATATCCTGTAGACATTTTTATGTATCTTACCCTTTAACACAATTTCATCAGTATCAAGCTTTGTGACAGTGCAAAATTTTTGAATTAAATTTTACCTCATTTCCTTTGTCGCACATTTTAGAGATGCTAAGAAGATTGTTTTTAAGACCTAACACATAATACACATATTTTATAGCATGATAGAGTGACTTGCCAACCTTGCCAATACCTGTTATCTAGTCCATTTTCCCATTTCCAAATGACATACTCCCTTCTTGGAAAGCTGTCAGTGAGAGGAAGTGTTTCTTTTCTCCAATCATATGTCTTGAGCATCCACTGTCTAGATACCAGTCCTGATTGTTCCTCTCACCTTATCCTGAACCAAAATTCATAAGTTAGTTTTGGGAACCCAGACAAGCTTGGGTCCTTTTTTGTTTGAGAAAGGATGAATCAGACCCCTTCTTGCTCAGAAGGCGTGAGGATTAGAAACTATTTTCTTGTTAACCTTGATCCACTTAGTATGGACAGGAGGATTAACCTTTGGCTCCTCTTCCTTCTTCACCTTTTTGGCAATACCAAAGATTTTTCTAAATTGAGCATAATTAATGCAGGACAAATGTCTCTAAAGTGTCCTACTCCTTCACAATGGGTGCACATGTTATTATCAGAAGTTCCTACATACTTTGGGTCAAAATCAGGGATAGATTTTCTGTAGCCGATTCCAAATTTGTTAGAGCTACAATTTTCATTCAGCCAATTCAAGGCATCAGAAGATTTATGCCATTTGCTTAGTCTAGAGAGTTCATAATTGGTCTTTTCTAGGTTTTCATGCAGGACTTTATTTTTACATTCAGCATCATAAAGATTATCATTTGCAATTTTTAATTCTTTTTCAAGTTTATCCTGTAGATCACTCATTTTCCTTTGCCATGTATATCAAGAGACTTTTCATTCTCAGAAGTAAGAGCAAGAACCTGGTTCTTAAGATCTTTGACATGTTTCTCTAAACTAGCTTTGTCAGACTCATGTTCTTTGATATTAAGTTTGACACAAGAAATGTTGTTTATTAGCTGATCATTTTCAGTACTCATTTTATCCATTTCATTCATTAAGGTCACAACTATGGCCATCAATTTTCTTTGACATAGCATGAATATTTTCATTCAAGTTAGATAGACTTACCTGGTTTTCTTCATCTTCAGCTTTTGAATCACTCATGACCATCATTCCTATCACTTCTTCCTCTGTTTTGGATTCTTCAATCACTATCAATGCTACTTCAATTTTTTTATTTCCAAAGTCAGTTTCTAAAGTCCTCAATATATCATGAACAGAGATGCAAGAGAACACTCTGAGGAGAGTGTTTCTAGATAGGCTCCTGTAGAGAAAGTCCTTTCCTTCAACATTTTCTGAACTAGCTAACGATCTTCCTCATCGTATTCCTCTTCTCTTTTGTTACACCTGTTTCCTTCACTGTCCTATTTGTTTGGGAGAATTGGTACATGACACCCATAGGTCAAATTTAGTATCCTGAAGAAATGTTTCCATACGTAGCTTCCATTCATCATAGTGGTGTTCATCAAACAAAGGGGGTTTTTCAATGTGCATTTCAAGATGTACTAGGGGTTTTGTCTTCACAGCTTGGTATTCATCAGTCACATCATAGAGACTTATTGCCTCATCCTCATTTTCTTCCTCTTGATCACTTCCACTGTCCTCGTATGCTGCCAAGAATATCTACTTCATTGCTTCAGTAAATCCTTTGCCTAGGATTTTTCCTTTGTTGGAACCCTTTTCTCTTATCTTCTCCCGTTTCTTTTTTTTTAGCTCGTTCTTTCCTCTGCTCAATTTTCTACTTTGGCAGACCTTGGCCATGTGATCTAGCTTGCAACACTTGTAGCACCCATCATAGTTAGCTTTGTCGATCTACTTGGGCTTATTAATGGTCTGTCTCTTAGATGCATTTTTTGAATTCTTCATGAACCTCTTGAACTTGGTAAACATTGCTAGATCAGGATCATCATAGTCAGATTCATCATCCTCAGAGACTTTATGAACCAAGGCCTTATCCTTCTTTGGTTCTTCCTTGCGCATTTTTATCTTTCTCATTTCAAGAGTTTTAAGTTTCCAACCAATTCATCAAGTGAGATTTTGACCAATCCTTGGCTTCCTGAATTGTAGTGACTTTTGATTCCCATGAAGCTGGAAAGATTCTTAGAATTTTTCTAACCAACTCTTCTGAGTTAAACACCCTTCCAAGTGATTTCAGTTCATTGGTTATTATAGTGAACCTAGTCATCATATCCTGGATGGGCTCAGACTCTTTCATGGAGAAAAGCTCATAGTTTCTCAATCCTTGATCTCTTTAATTGGTTTGTTTCTTCATGAACAGTTTGGAGTGCATCCCATATTTGCTTCGCATTAGAGCACACAAAAATTCTATTGTACTCATCAGGACCAAGTCCATAGATAATGATTTTCTTAGCATTTGTATTCTTCTCCATTATTCTGAAATCTGCTGCAACAAATTCGGAAGGGTCCTTATGAACTGTTTCATTTTTTACATTTTTTTTTGTAGGAATCAAAGTACCTTGGTTCACTATGGTCCATAGCTCATAGTCTTCAGCTGTCAGGAAGTTTTTCATTCTTGCTTTCCACCAACCGTAATATTTTCTAGTGAATAGGGGTGGCTTGGTAGTTGATTGTCCTTTATTAATTCCGAGTGGAACACTCATCTTACTTCTTTGATCTCTTTAGATGTTAACCATGTAAATGAGAGAACCTGCTTTGATACCAATTGTTAGTTTGAGTGCCCGTATGAATTACTAAAGAACTGGGTTCCTTACCGTGTTCATTAAGCGTAAAGTAAATAATTAATAAAATGAACACAACGATTTTTACGTAAAAAATCACCCGGCTCAAAAGGTGCAAAACCACAACCTACCACGTAAGATTTTCAGCTCCAACTCCACTAGAACACTGACCCAAAATATATTAATTATAGGACTGTAATTAAATACTCTTCAGTACTCCTACCACTCCTATTTGATTCACAAGCTACTCTAACTTGTAAAGTAAAATACTCACTCCAACTCACTAATTGTTTATGATACTTGATTACAACTCAATTACCTAAAACACATTCACTGACTCAGGAAGAATACAAGACCAGTACTCAACATAAGCGAACAACTTATGACTCTTCTATTGATGTGTAAAAGGATAATTCAGAAATTCAAAGTCGATCCTATTTAAAACACAACTTGAGATCTCATCACAAAAATTGGAAATTATTGTGGCGGTTATATTACGATTGTTCCAAATAATCGCCACAAAATCTAATAAAATGGCGTTTTAGCAGTCGCTGGATTAGAAGTTTTTTTATAACGGCGATTATTTCATATTGCGCCGGTTAGAACCACCAAAATGTTTTAATCACAACATTTTAATTATTCCCTCAACAGGTTTTAGTATTTCCCCCCTTACAATTTGAGACCCTCTCCAGAATATTCCAAGTCTCTCGTATCTTTTCCCCCAATAGGCAACGAACTCCTAATTTTTCAACTTCAGATTCTTCTATTTCTCCCAATTACTTTCTCCGGCTAGAAGAATCGAGATTCAAAACACAAAAAGTACATAAAATTCGTGTAGCAACTTCAATAATCTTCAGGTAATGATGCATATTTAGTAACAAAAGTTCTTTTCTCTTTATTAGGGTTCATGCATGTTTGGAAGTGTAGCGATTTTCCCCAATTCTGTTCTATTTTTTTTTGTTCAGTCCGATAATCTATGATTTATTCAGTTAATTGAATATATAACATCAAAATAGTAATCTATTACTAGAAAAATGGGCAACAGAACGAAAATTACTATTATTAGAAAACATTATTGTTCTAATGGTTTCAGTACTTCTTTCTTTTATTTTTAGTTCATTTTTTTGTTATTTTCTGTTCAATTTGTTTGGTGTTTCTTCAAAGATTTTGCTACTTTATTTTATATTTCGATGGCATGCACTTAATTTTGATATTTTAAGTTGTTGTTCTTGCTAATATTAACCTCAATATTATATATGGGCTTGATAGGAAGCCGAGGGATCAAAAACTGCTGGTGAAGCTATTGGGATCAACGTCGATAGTAAAATATTTGATAGGTATAGCTTGTTTTAGTTTAATTTTGTACTTTTTTTTTGAAGGTAGATTGACTATTTCTTAGTGTTGAGTTACCTCTTATCAGTGTAAATTAGTCACAGACCAAAATTAATTTTTGTTATCTTATGAAATGATGTTATTTCACAGGTTATATTTTTCACATATAAGCTTTTGAACTAACTTTTCTGTTTTGATATTGTGATGTTATCTTATGTTTTCCTTTCTAGCCATGTCAATTGATAAATCTTGGATTAGCAAACCATGAAACACACCTGAATATGTAGATGGTCTAAGACAATTTTTCGATTTTGCTTTTGAGCACGGGTCAGTTGATGGGCGTGTAATTAAGTGCCCTTGTCCAAAATGTGATTTTAACAAGTGGCAAAGAAGAGATGTAGTTGAAGGGCACCTGATTCTTAAACCTTTTCCGAAAAACTATAAATTTGGTATTGGTATGGTGAAGAATCAAATGCAGCAGTGCAACAGACTCAGAGCACCCATGTCATAGAAGATACTTTACAGCCCCAAGATCCAATGAAAATTATGATTACTGATACGTTTGGGTTCACCAGGAATAATAGCAATGAGCATGGCGTGTCTTCTAATCATATAAATAGAGAAGAATTATTTGATGTCAAGTCTTTTTGGATTCATAAGGACATCTCAAAAATAAGAAAGTTTTTTTTGCTGATGTTTTACTGCTTAATTTGGAATATGCTCATTCATTTTATAGCATATAAAAAAAAGCAGTTGATGGGGAGTGGCAACAGGTCACTTTTGTTAACCAGTAGAATCGAAGTTAAACCTTTTATTTTAAGTTTTTACTCTCTTTATTTGGTTTTACTTGATCCTTTTGTTTGTATTTGGTATATCTGACGATCAATCTGCTAAAGCTAAGGGAGTTGCAAAAAGTTAGTTATATAACTTTTTTAGATTTGGCCAGTGCTATGTGTCCTTTGTTATATTGCTTTCTGAATACACTCCATAGCCGTGAATTGTAGGACATCTGTTCTTTTTTCTTTTTTTTTGCTTTGATCCCTCAAGTGAAATAACACAAATAATAGTAATCAGTAAGTTATAAGACATTGAAAGCAAGTTGCCCAGCCCACTTAGATATTTCTCAGCAAAATATCCCTACCCCAATCCAACCAATATCCATGATCAGATTTTTATGAGACAAATCAAAACAGAAAAGACCCCATATTGTAGTATAGCTAGCTAAACTTTCACAATTTTGATTACTTATTCAATTTTCCACAAATAAAAAGTATGGAAGATGAGGATGTTTCAGAAAGCTTCAATGAGTGGCAGCAAATCCCATCTCCATATTCAACTACTGGCGAAGATCAGTTAACAACAGAAATGATGTAGATGTCACCACAGAAGACTTACCAATTAACAATGATCCTCAATTGTTTCAAGAACCCTTTAACTCAGCAGTTTATGCTGCAGAAACTACTTTGTCACTGCCTTATAGTGATGATAATAATGAGAAAGCTAAATGACATTTGATATATTGCTTAATTTATGTTCGTCAAATTTTATAGGAAAGAATTGAAGAAATTCGAAGGCAAAGAGCAAAAAGTCTTGATGAACCTTAACCAAATGATGCACTTGGCATAGGCTTGGGTGTATTTTCAACTCTATCATTCAAATAGACATCTGCGAGAAACCATCATTGTTATGTGGGTTCATCTAGTACTACCGCTCCAACTCCAGAGTAGAAGCAAGAGATGACAGATGTGAAATCAAAATTAAATGCACTAATTAGCTTATATGAAAGGAACATAGGAAATATCCCTGAGGAGTTTGCTCACTTATTTTTCACTCCTCCACAGGTATAAGTTCCCTTTCTACATTAAAATTTTAGTTATTTGCTTTTCTTATGGTTCTTTTTTGATATAAAGTGGTTTCTCTCTTGGTTTTATTTGAAGAATCGAGAAAATAATGTTATGTTCTAATTGTTTTGAGCATTTGATTCATTCAAAAACTTATATAGCAGTATATAGGTCCTATGGTCCATGGGAAGGTGTATGTCTTTCCCTTGAGACTATTAGTAACTTGTTTTGTTCTGTGGATTCGGTCTTTGATGAGTTATAATACATCCGATATTTTCATTCAGCTTCTATTTTTTAATATTTTTATTATGTGCAAATTGCTCTAGCAAGTTGGTAACTATTGGTCTAGCCAGTTATAAGTGAAGATTGATTCAACAACTACTTGTTAAATTGCCTTTCTGTAAGCATGTGTAGAGAGAGTTCTTGCTTTATGTCAACTAATTGAAAACAGTGAAGGCTTGTGTATGGAAGGAGTTTGTGAATATTGATCAGTTTGTGAAGAATAACATTAAATCGCATTAATGTACTGTTTGTTGGTTAGAGTGCTGCTGCTTGAGCTCTCCAGCATTTCTGTACCTTGTTCTTCATAATCCTCTGTGTCTTTCAACAAGAGATTATTCTGCAGAATCCTCAATAGGGTCCACTTGGGAAGATTGCAATTGCTCTGATAAGCATATTGAGTGTAATACGAAATGCAAGACTAGAAGAATTTTAAGTCCAAAGTCTTTTTCCACATGTATAGCTGCATAACTCTTTCAACACTTAGAAGTTCTCACTACTTCAGCACACCAATTATAATTTTAGTTATTTGCTTATTGACTGTATTTTTTTCAGGCACCAGATTTAGAAAGTGGTGCATCATCAACGATTGAACCAAGAAGATCTTTAGATAAAAAAAGCAATGATGATCGTCCAAGTGTGAATTATTGATTTTTTGTAGGATCCACTATTAATCTTTTGGATATTACTGTTGAAATACAATTAATAGTTTGATGATTTAATTTTGGTATACTTGTGTTTTATATAATGAATATTTTTCTTATTTAATCTTCTATATTGGTTTAAGTTGATTATGAAGTGTTATAGAAGTTTCAACGCATTGCATTCAATAAATAGGATTGTATATGTAAAATAAATAAATTATGGATGGATACTGGGGTTACTATAGCAGTTTTCTAATGCAACCATGGCGGCTTAAAGCCGCCACAATAAGAAAAACAAAAAGGCGCATTAACCACAATAATGTAACGATCCGACTGGTTGTTTTGAGCTCTAGCACGTCGTTCAGTTGTTTGAGGCCTTGAATAGATTCACTTCATGTATTATGACATGTACGTATTTTTAGAATTAAATTTCGGGAAGTTCGGAGTTGATTTGGATGAAAAATACTAAATACAGAAGCATTAAGTTGGAAGAGTTGACTAAGGTTTGACTTTTGAGTAAACAACCTCGGAATCGGAATTTGAAGGTTCCAATAGGTTCGTATGATGATTTCGGACTTGGACGTATGTTCGGGTTGAGTATCGGGTCGCTTGGGAGCATTTCAGCGCTTATTGTGAAAAGTTGAAATTTTGGACTTGTACGTAAAGTTTGCCGTCATTTTGGATATTTTGATATGTTTGAGTTCGTATTGTGATTTGTGACTTGTATGTATATTTTGGCGTCATTTCGGAATATTTTGATATGATTCGGAAGCGTTCGGCGAAGTTTGGAAGTTTAAAAGTTTAAAGAAGGATTTTGATCGTCGATTCTTAATTTTGGTGTTGTTTGGTGTGATTTAAGGATTTGAGCAGGTTCGTTTTGTGTTTTGGGACTGGTTGATATGATTGGACGAGGGCCGTGGGCCTCAGGTGTGATTCAGAGTGGTTTAAGACCATTTTCCCTATTTTGCAACTGCTGGTGCAGGTGTTTGGTGTTGTTCTTCGCGAACGTGAAAGGTCTCACGCGTTCGCGAAGAAGAATCTTTGGGCTGAGGATTTTTGTTCTATGCGAACATGACACAGGGGTCGCAAACGTGGAAGAGGACTGAAGCATGCCTATACGAATGCAACACAGTGGCCGCGAACGTGAAGAAGGAAGGGAGTTGGGGGCCTAGGAGTGTGAGGGCAGTAATTTTGGCCTTCGCAATCGCGAGTGGGATTATGCGATCGCGAAGAGAAGCATGCCTGGGCAGAATGGATTAAATGCGGGTCTTAGTCCATTTCTCTCTCATTTTTCATTTGGTTGGGCGATTTTTGGAGCTTTTGGTGGGAAGATTTTTATCATCTATGTCAAGGTATGTAATTGTCTCATATTGTGAGTTAAATACAAGGTTTATATATGGATTTGAACATGGAAATTAGTAGAAATTTGGGATTTTGGTAAAAGACTTATAATTTGGAATTTCAGAATTTTGACCACGAGATTGGACATGGAATTAGCAATAAATCATATACTTGAGTTCCCAATATTATGGGTAAAGTTTATCTTCAAAAACTTTCGGAATTCGGGCACATGGGCCTGAGGGTTGACTTTATTGACTTTTCGAGTGGAGTTGGAAATTGTTATGAATTGATTAATTATGAGTATTAGAGTACAATTTTATTGGTTTGCACCTTGTTTGACTAGTTTTGGAGTGATGAGCGTCTGTTTGAGGTGATAGAGTGGCATTAGAGCCGGTTATGGAACTTCGGACCAGGTAAGTCTCCTGTCTAACCCTATGAGGGGGAAAACTACCCCTAGGTGATTTATTTTATATGTGCTACTTGATGCGGGGGTTATGTACGCACGAGAAGATGAGAGTCCCTGTACGTAGCTAGATTCATGTTATGTCCGGGTAGACGTAGGTTCCCGCCATGCTATAACTCTACTATTTGAGTTTCCTAAATCCTTTATTTTACGTGATGACTTGAGGCTAGACTTGCGTAGAGTGATAGACTTGCTATTGTAGTGATTTGATGTGCTACTTGATTTTGCCATAAATGTGCTTCCCTTACGAATTCCTCCGGGGTAGCAGGTTTTCATCGAAAAGCTTCCTTAAAGTTCATAACTCACATGTTTATTCGTGGGAAGGGTCAAGGACCCGTTAAAGCTTTTTATTCTAATAGGATCGGGCCGTTTGCCTCGGCAGTATAATAGATACATCTAGGATTCATGTTGTTCGACCCTCGACAGTGCACACATTATGATAGGATCGGGTCATTCACCACGACAGGATTATGTACCACTCTCATGGGAGCGAGCCGTTCGCCTCGACAGTAAAATAGATGTATCTACGGTTCGTGAAATTCTACCCTTGATGGTGCACACATATTATGATGGGATCGAGTCGTACGCCTCGACATTTCTATAAATACTTCTATGGAAATCGTGCGTAATATTTGACAAGAAGACAGCGAATCTGTAAGTTTTTTCTTGATTTGAATTATGGAGACCTATCTGGGGAGGTCCTTTATATAATTACTCCGGTTGAGGAGGTAACTGCTAATTGAGAGCTTGAGTTTATTGTTGAGAGGAGGAGCGTACCACATATTTATATTTTTTTATTTCATTTATTTACTCTACCTCACATCTGTTTACTTTCTACTGTATTTGATTTATTAGACCACTAGTAAGTGTCGATGTTGACCCCTCGTCACTTCTTTTTTAGGGTTAGGCTAGATACTTATTGGGTACGTGTTGATTTACGTACTCATGCTACACTTATTGTGCATGTACATATATGTTGGTTCCCGTGTTACGATCCGCAACATCTAGAGTCTCCATCAGAATTAATCATATTTTCCTATCTAACTTGTATCCTAGACAGATGTTGTATTTTATTATATTTACTAGTTGATGCTCATGCACTTGTGACACCTGGTTTGTGGGGGGGGGGGGGGGG